CCAAATATAGTTCTAATCTATCATATAGCCGTTTCTATTAAAATGTTTTTAGATATTTTTGATTGTCAAATTTCAGTTGATAGGCCTCCACGAGTAATATCTAAAACTATTGAGTATACTGGTATTTGCTGCTTTTACAGGTTGAGAAAGCGCATGATGCTGATCTTCATTGTGTTGACTGGAATCCTCATAATGACAATCTTATCATAACCGGGTATGATGTATAGTATTAATGTATTATTATCCTATAAATCATGAGGAGGCGCTTACTCCCCCCTCCCCCCTCAAAAAAAACCCCAAAAAAAAAATGAAGAATGAAAAAGGAGAGTAATCATGTAACAGCGGAGTATGGGGTGTGTACTGCTGCAAGTTTGCTTTTCTTTTTCTTGCAAATCAAAATCGTCTCCTTCCATGTTATATCATAAATTTATATAATTTCACTCATCAGCAGTCATCTAGATGCTGCCTATTATGGTGAGTACTGTTGCTTGGGTGCTTTTCTTTAATGTTTATCTAGTGGCAGATTTCATACTTAGCATGTGTAACTCAGATCCGCTGATAATTCGGTGCGCTTGTTTGACCGGCGAAATTTAACTTCGGATGGGTTTGGATCACCGGTCCATAAGTTTGAACATCACACAGCTGCAGTTCTCTGTGTTCAGGTGTTTCATTTGCTGTGTTTTGTTCATCAGTGAAACTGTGATTACTGGATATCTCTGCGTTTTATTGCCGTTATGTAACTGATAACCTTTCCTTTGCAGTGGTGTCCTGATAGGGCTTCTGTGTTTGGGAGCTCCGCAGAGGATGGTCTCTTAAATATTTGGGACTACGAGAAGGTAGAGATTCTCCTGTCCTTGCAGAAGAAGCAGCAAAATGAAAACTGTTCATGACACACTATAGATATATTAACATAGGAATCATCTCTTGTCAAATTTTATGTCTTGTCGGTCTTTTGATGCTTTATCATGTAAAGACTGATTCTCTATAATCTGTTAAGTTCAAGTTTGAAAAATTCCTTCTTGACCGGTGGCTCCAGTGTTGTACTATGGATTACTTATTTGTATATTAGTAGTGCGAAATTGGATATGTGAATATTTGTTAAACTTTCGATTGGATGTGAACATAGGCAAGTATTCCATTTAAAATTGAATAAAGTAGGCCAACAAAGAATGGAGATGTTCTAGATTCATAGATTATTCATTTGTATGCATCTTTTTAATTAGATAACCTAGTCGTTCTCCTGATAGTTTTAGTTAATTTTCTTGCCAGGTTGGTGAAACAACAGACACTGAAGCG